GGAGAAAACGTGGAGTTGGCCATATGTGGCTAAAGGGGTGGACCCAATGTGATCACATGTGACTCCAATTATGAACCTCATATGTGAATGTGGCCGAGATGCCAAAATTTCAAGTATCAATTTCTCCTTTTCTTCTCCTTCTTTGAACAACGCTATTGACAAAACAATAACAAAACCACAATTTATCCTATCCTTTGAAAATTAGAAATCACAATTTTGAAAATAATAAATTTTTGATCCCTAAAATCCCCTAAACCCTCGTAACTAAACTCTAATAGAATATAATTAACCCAAACATAAATAATGTAAAAAAAATTTAATTTTGAAAAAGTGGCATTTTTGTAAAAATTTTAAAAGTGTGACATTTTTGTAAAATGGCACTTGAAAAATGGTTTTATGTAAAGAATAACTTTTAAATAAACATTTTAACCATAGCTTATATGCACTATTGTTTTTCCTGTTTAATCTCATGTGGCGTTCTTGGTTGATCTCAAAGCTGTCTTAGACCTGATGGGGTTATAGTCGTGAAAGAGAATCACTCTAAAAAAAAGTCTCTTCGGCTCTCTCTCTCCGACGTTTTTTGTGAAAAAAAATATTTTTGTGGAGATTTGATATGTGCAGGTGCTTGGATTTGGAAATTAATTGAAGTGTTATCCAAACGCTCTCTTATACATGATGAAGAATCATCGAAAGAGCGTTTGGATAACAAATGAGACTGGAAAAGGAAATATTTTGAGCACTCTTAAGTATATTTGGCAATATATAACTTTTTTTATTTGAAACCATGGAATATATACTTCAGANCATTTTTAGTATACATGCAATGTTTGTAATTCGTAAGGAAAATGTTGGGAATAAGACTATTATTTTATCATACCATAATTTTATCATTCCNCATGTCCAAGCATTAAGCTAACATAAACATTTTTTATTACAAAAGAAAAATATTTGGAAATTGGACTAATTAATTGCATGTCCTCGACTAGATCCTTACAATTAATGAAAGAGTGAAAATGTCTGCAATTTCTAATATATTTTGCAACAAAAATTT